GGATCTGACAGTCCCAAGTGTATGCGGGTATACATATGTAGGTATTATAGAAAATTCCATCGATCACACACTTTTCCTGTCCTCTGCGGAAAGTTCGTCCCCTTTATTTTAAAGAAAAGAGTTGTGTGCTTGACATTGATTATTTCCTCTCTATATAAATTCCAGCCACAAAATTGAATACCATTTCCATGGTATCATTGTGGGGAGGAACAAATGTTGGCAAAGGGAGTACTAGGGCTTGTTTGATCTTATTATCTTATGTGACTGAAATTGATTTTAGCAAGTGCCTTTCTTTTCAAAAAAAAAAATCAGGTTCTTAGTTTTGGATCTATGTTGCTAAAAAAAAAACATTTTGCTTGGTAGGTTTGCACGCAGAGGTCATGGAAAAGGCCTTACGGCGTTGGTCTCCTTGTAGGAGGACTGGATGAATCCGGAGCACACCTCTATTATAACTGCCCAAGCGGCAACTACTTTGAGTACCAAGCCTTTGCCATTGGGTCGCGGTCACAAGCTGCGAAAACATACTTAGAACGCCGATTTGAGACCTTCATGGATTCTACAAGAGACAACCTGCTCAGGGACGCCCTCTTTGCATTGAGGGAGACCTTGCAGGGAGAGAAGCTGACAAGCTCAGCCTGCACAATTGCCGTGCTTGGAGAGGGAGAGCCATTCCACATATTGGACAAGGAAGCTATACAGACATTGATCAATGAGTTTGAGTTGGCGGGTGAAGACAACGCTGCCCCTGAAGAAGAAGGTGGTGCTGCCCCTGCCCCTGCCCCAGCCGATGGAGGTGCCGCCCCAATGGATATATGATGATGATGATGGTGAGGATAATGCTTTCATAATTTCACTTTGTTCCTCTATTTTCATTTTAAGTGGGATTTTATTAAGCTGTTACAATGTTGTTGAGAATTTGGGCCCTAAGATGGTGCCCTCACATGGTTGGGGACCTTCTTTCCAGACTCTGTTCTGTTTAAAAATTATAGCGACGGTTTGGAACTTGAAGTTTTCATTGCGTGAAAGTGATCTGAGTTTCATTTTAGTACCGTAATTATTTTTCTCGGGGTGGGGAAGTGCAGTACGGGTTAAGGCGGAAAACGAACTGAATTGAGCCATATAGACTACAGTACCCGTTCCACTTATTTTATCCAGAATTCTTACGTTTGAACTCTTAATTTAAAAAAAAAATAAAAAATTACTCCGTGCATCTCAATAGAAGTTGCATGTATAACTTTAATCATATTTTTGCACTCATTTTTGTTACTCATTTGATAAAAATATAGTAATGTCACTTTTTGTTTTGTACGGAGTAAAATTTTTCATATAGTTTTTAAAATATATATATAAATTTCTTTTTTAAATTATACCATGATTTTCATATAAATTCATTTGAAAATAATTGTAATCAAACATCGTAAATAGAAAATGAGACAAAATGAGTATTTTTTTTAGGTACTTTGAATAATAAAAAAAATAAATGTTTGGAATTTGGATTGTTAGAAAATGATAAAAATAAAGTGTGAAAAGATAAAAAGATATAAAAAAAACTATATAGTGTGAGAGAAAGATGTAATTTTCTCACCTATATTGTGGGATAAAAAATAAAGTATGACTATGAACTATCTTCTTTTTGTGTAGGAAATTATTCACTTTCACATGGTGTGTTGGAGACACTGATATTTTAATCTATAAAAACAACTCAATTATGTTATGTTTATTTACACAACTGAAATTGATTCCGTTTCTCTTTTTTTTTCTCCTTCCCCTATCTATTAGGGAGTACTTTGCATTTTCCCTCTATAGAGACAATGGGTACAAATGATTTCAATCATTATTATTCTATAAATAGTTTTTTTTTTAAGAAAATTACCCTAATGACTTTAAAATAAGTAACTATAAAAATTATTTTGAGTCAAACTCATTTATAAATAAAAATTGAATTTAATTTTTCTAAATTAATTAATGAAGCATAATTTTATTTTCTATCATTTTTAAATAAAAATAATTGTATAGTGTAAATATTGAGTAATTAAAAACGAGCATGCGAGTCGCATATTGAATAATATTTTAATAATCCTTTTTTATGTGAGAGATGAGGAGTAATGGAGAAAATGTGTATTCACTCCATAAAAACGAACATGCGAGTCGCATATTGAATAGTACTCCCTCCATCCCATTTTATAACGCCTGTTTCGATTTACGATGTTTGACTGAAATTATTTTCAAATCATTTTATATGACAAATGGTATAGAGTTAAAAAATAAAAATTCAATATCAAAATAGTACATCAAAAAATTTACAAAATTAGTACTGACAACAATATTTTATTTTATTAAATTGCTAACGAAAATAGAGAAAGAATGTGAATAAAGTTTGACCTTATGAATAGTGAACAGGTATTATAATTTGGGACGAAGGGAGTTGTATTTTAGTAGTCATTTATACGAGTAAATGATAATCTAAAACATTATCTAGATAGCAATCATAGCATATTATCATTGCATTCAAAGAACTTACATGATATTTTGTACCCTCTTTAAAAAAAATAAGATGCATGTTTGACCGAAGTTTTTTTAATTCAATTTATATGAGAATTCGGATAGAATTAAAAAAATAAAATTTACATATTAAAAGACACATCAAAAGTTATATTGGTAATATGATAAGAGATGACATTATCATATTTTTTTATCAAATGATTAACAAAAATATGTAAAGAAAATGAATACAGTTTAATTATGTGAATAATAAACATGCTATTTAATTTGAAACGGAATACAAAGGATTGCTTGGTGTATGGAATCGTGTTTATTGGTGGTGTATGAAATTGATACGGACACGTATCAGGATAGGGAAGGTTGAACACCTTCGAGCTATAGAATTGGGAAAAAAGAAGAGAAGAGAGAATTGCTCGACACTTTGTTCGGCGGAATAGAAGAACGAGAGGGAAGGGGAGGAGACTAGGGTTTAGGGAAAATGATTTCTTATTGATTGAATAATAAACTCATGCATAATGGCTACATATATAGATGGTTGATCTAAAGAGTCCTAACCATAAAAGGTAACTAAATAAATTAAAATGCTAATAACCTAATATAATAATACTTCCTAATAATAATATAATTATTAAACCATAAATAATAATAACAGTAATATAATAATAATGGTAAATAACTAAATATAGTCATGTATCACTCTTCCCACCTCGAAAACCAACTTGTCCTCAAGTTGGAAATCAAATAAAGAACGGGAAAAGATTGCACCGTTCCTCGTCCATCCTCTGGGGTCAAACACCTTGATCCTTGGAGCACCAAAAGAACGAGTCACGCCTAAAACATTCCCAGTGTCAAGTAAACAGTTCCGGGCAACCAGGAGTAGGAATATTATGCAATCACGTGCAACATCCACAGAATTATAAAGGACAATAGCGTCACTTTCTGATGTCCCAAATGTTTCCGCGCATCCATAAAAAATGATACCATTACTTGAATATTTTTCATGGACAGTGTGGTCTTGTTGGTCGTCACCAGAAACATCAACAACAATATCAGCAACGGTAACAAGAACAACATCTATGGGATCAATAATAATATCATCATCGGGAACACAAACAGGATCAATAAAAATTTCCTTTTCAAATTTCTGGTCCTGCAAAGTTGTGTTCTGCACAGGTACTGTAGGGGCCGAATCTCGTGGAGTTCCGATGAGTTTCCTTATAAAGCACATCATGGTTGTTTTGAAAATATATAACTCTATAGGAATCAGACTCAACATAATTGGGAGACCGCGAACTAAATCTTGTATTGAACAAAAGGCCTCAACGGCGAATGCATATACCTCAGGATCATATTTTGGTTGACCTTCAATTGGACGGAATGCCTGAAGTTTCTTTATAATTTCATCCACGGAATCTTCAACTGCACACACGCCTTCATAAAATTCAATTTGTCCCCGTAAAATTTTCTCGAGTAATCCAAGAACTTTGTCCAACAAAGAATCCATTGCCAAAAGAAACACCACGACAATTGAGATGCTAACAAATGCCCACGAGAACCACTATGATGACACACCCCCCCAAAAAAAAGTGGATTACCACAATTTCTGCAATGGCAGCAATACCTTTTATTTCCAAGACTAGCGAATTGAATACTATGGCGACGATAAGTCCTTCGCAACTTCAATCCTGTCGGCCGCGATAAGCAAGTTTTTCTTTTTTTTTTTTTTGTTTTTTTGTGTGGATTTGAGATGGGTTCGATAATGAAAGCACCAATTAATACGGACACGTATCGGGATAGGGAAGGTTGAGCACCTTCGAACTATAGAATTGGGAAAAAAGAAGAGAAAAGAGAATCGCTCGACACTTTGTTCGGCGGAATAGACGAACGAGAGGGAAGGGGAAGAGACTAGGGTTTAGGGAAAATAATTTTTTATTGATTGAATAATAAACTCATGCATAATGACTACATATATAGATGGTTGATCTAAAGAGTCCTAACCATAAAAGGTAACTGTATAAAATAAAATACTAATAACCTAATATAATAATACTTCCTAATAATAATATACTCCGTAATTATCTAACCATAATTAATAATAATAGTAATATAATAATAATGGTAAATAACTAAATATAGTCATGTATCAGAAATCGTGTTGGAATGGGATGTGTTTTTATATTTTGAAAGAAAAAAAAGAGTTAGTATCCAGAACACTTCGTAAAAAAACCTAGACTGGAATCATATGAAACTAGCAGTGGAGGTGGTGGTTGGCCAGCGGTCATGGTGGTTGTGAGTGCGATCGTGGTGGGTTGGCAATGACAGTGGTGGTGGCTTGGCAATGACAGTGGTGGTGGGTTGACGATGATGGTGGTCAACTGGTGACCATGGTTGTAGTTGCAGGTGATGACAGTGGCAGTGGTGGTAGGCAGTGGGCTGGTGATGGTGGCACTGACTAGGAAATAGGAATCAATTTCTCTTGATATTACCAATTTACCCATGTATCCCCCAAAACTTTATCCATCTATCCTGCTCAAATCAATCTCAAGAGTCAAATTTATGACAAAGTAGTCAATATGATTTAAATATTGTTCCCATAAAATGCTTAAAGCAGTAGGGCTACACCCAAAACAAGAAAATCAAAATTGATCTTCTCTTCTTCCTAACTAATCCTTTCTTCAGGTGGGGAGTGGGAAAAGAGAAGCCTTAGAGAAAAAAAAATCAAGAATCTGCTGATTCAGAAGAGCTTACTGTTCTTGTGATTGGGGTGATGATGGGAATGGAAACTCCATTGGACAGCATTTGTTTGTACATCCATAGCCAGTTTGAAGGAGTGACCTCACCTCCAAGATCTCTAACCACTGAACCGCCACTGCATGCGCCCACTTGACAACACTCTTCGAGCGAGAGACCCTTTATCAGTCCATACAAAAATCCACTTGCAAACAAGTCCCCTGCCCCTGTTGCGTCCCTTGCCTTCGCTTCTCCTACTGCCCCTACCCGTGCCACCTGTACTCACACCCCCCCCCCCCAAANAACACCCATCATCAATGAGTGATAATAGTATGGAATCATTCTAAACCATATTGGAGATTTCTACTGTCATGTACCTCTTTTCCATGTTTTGCAATGCACCCATTTTGGCCCAGTGTTACTACTGCCCACCGGCAGTGTTGGGCCAAAAATCTAACCGCTGCCTCAGGATCTCTGTGATCTTCCCCACTGCATGAAAATATATGTATATAATTGTGTCTATATGGAAAAGTAATACTCAGATAACAGACCATGTAAAAAAAGAAGTGTATAATCACCTTAGCAGCTCCTTTGCTTCATCTTCGTTCGCAAAGCAAAGGTCTATGTTCCCCGACTCTAATAACTGGATAAGTGGTAACCTAAACTTCCTAACCATCTATTCACATAAAATGTTAATTACCATAGACAGACAGAGAGCATATGTGAAACTTGCCATGTTAATTCCACAGTGACTGTGTTCATAGACAAGCTTCAGTATAAAAATGTCACTTTGACTGTGAAATGCGTTTCGTGCAATAGATAAACTAATACTCTAATTTGATATTGGAGTAATTTTGATGTAAATTTTCTTTCATATATAATTGTGGACAACGTGAACAAAAGGATTAGAGAGGGTGCTCCAGAAACGAAGAGTTTGAAACAATGTGTTACCTCAAAGCTGGCGAGATCTAAAGAAATAGAGAGGCCTTCTTGTTTGGCAATACGAATGGCCATATTCATAACATCTAAGTTTTGTATTGCATATCTTAGCACTAGCCACTGTTACAAAAACTAAGAGATTAGTGATCCAACTGTGCAGTAAGTGTTTTGAAATGAAAAAAAAGTGTCTCATTTTGAGTATATCACATACTACCTTTGACCCTTTGAAATCCTCTATCTTCAATTCATCTGCCTGATTAGATAACATAGTAAAGATTTGCATTAGGAATAACCAAATATTTAGAATCGCGAACTGCTTGTATTTGAAGAGAGAGTAAAGATGACATGCACCTGAACTTTAACAGCACTAGAAAGACAGGGGCGCATTGTACGATTGCCACATTCATCGACCATACAAACACACTGTCAATTAAAAAAACACTTAAATTGCTTCTGCCCTTGAATATTGATCAATCAATTAGAACTAAAATATGAGAACTCGAAAGAGCTATATGCTCACCTGAGCAGTGTGTCCATTCTTCAGCCTCAACCTAGAGATATCCACTTTGTGGAAGCTCATATTATCTGTGAACAATTTTCCTTGTTGATCATTTCCATATGCCCCGATTATTCCACAAGAAACCCCAAATCCAGCAGCCAAGCCTCTGATAGTGTTTGTTACACTTCCTCCAGCTATGGTTTTCACTGGTGAAGGATTTTCTGGGGTTGGAAGGATATATGCAGTAATTTTGTTCAGAATGTTTGTCAGCTCTTCAGCTTCAACCTTAAATTGCAACAAGTAGCACAACAAATCAGAACCGGAACTAGACCACAGAAAAACATTTCTTTATCAAAATAGCATTTCTTTTTTCTCCCCAACAATGATTGGAAGCTGGAGAGGAAGATAGAAAGACTAAAAGGGCAATCGGTTGAGCTGTTAGTCGTTGCTAAAAGGTTAAATAAATATGCACAGAATGTTCTGACATTACTTAAAGTTCTACTCGGATGAAGATTCATTCATTCATTCTACATCAGCACTATGAGGCATTGCACAAAACCTTTTGCATCCATTATATGTTCTTAAGGCAAGATGCAGTGAATATGATATACTACTATATAGACACCTATCAACAGATTCAATGATTTAAATTCAGATAAGGATTTTCCTCAAAAAAATCAGATAAGAATTATGCTAAACAAACAGGACATAAGTAAGCCAATTCAGCAGAGGGAGGTAGAAAGGAATACAGGGAAAGAGCCACCACACTCGCCGGGAATGAGGGAGAGAAAAGATAAATCAACCCTAGCAACATGATCCACCAAGGCGGCGGGCTGCAGACCCAAAACCACCGGAGCGGCACAGCTTTCCCTGAGGCTTTCCCCTTCACCCTCGCCAGTTTTGCATTGAAATTCGGCCCCCATTCTCGATCTTCGCAGAAAGGGGGAATTCTTCCTCCGGAGGACTTCCCAGCGCTAGTTGCCTTCTTTTCTTGGGGTCCCATTTTCTTTCTTTCTCTTCCTCCTTTTCTAAAACTTGTGCGTTTGAGACCTAAAATTCATTTAAAATTTTAGATTTAATTCTAACATTTGAAATTCTATAATTTCAAATTCTAAATATCATTTAGAAAGTCGTAAAATTTCAGTTCTAGAATTTGAATTTTTAAATTGGAAAAGACGGAAACGGAAACAGATTGATATGTATGGAACTGTTATTATATAAGAGAAATCACTCTTTAATTACAAGTTTTAAATTAAAGAAAAGTTAGGCTTGAATTTGTAAATGACACAGAGAGATGTGAGAATTTCTAGTTGACTTAATTTTTAGAGTAAATTCCATAAAAGGTCCCCGGTTATATGTTATTTTACATATTTAATCCCTACATATCAAATATTACTAATTTAGTCCCCAATTATTATATTCATTTCCACGAATGGTCCTTTGTTAACATTTCTGTTAAGAACGTGGATAAAATTGTAAATTCACACTTCTTTCTCTCCTCAATAAAACTTCCTCCCTCCCCTCGCAATCCTTTCCCAAACCCATCGCTGAGTTTGAAGCTTTGAACTCAAAACTGAAATCATTACTCTTCTCTCAATTGTTTGTCTAACTGGTGCAACCCAAATTCGAAATCAGTAACCTTTCTGGATGAGTTTTAATGTTTATTTTCTTTGCAATTTATTAAGCCTAACCGGTAAAACTATACCATAGAGCTTATTGTTTTTTTATTTTAAGTTCCACCAGGAAGACTAATAATTGAGAGAGGAATGATCATTTCAGTTTTGGGTTTAGAACTTCAAACTCAGCGACGAGTTTGGGAAAGAGTACGAGAGGAGGGAGGAAACTTAATTGAGGAGAGAGAAAATATAAATATACAATTTTATCCATGTTCTTAACAAAAACGTTAACAAAGGACCATTCGTGAAAAATGATATAATAATTGAGAACTAAATTAGTAATATTTGATATGTAGGGACTAAATATGTAAAACGGCCTATAACTGGGGACCTTTTATGGAATTTACTCTAATTTTTAATTAGAAAAATTTGATTTAAATCCAAATCTAAATTTTTTGAGTTCCCAAACAAGTAATTTGGATCAAATTTAGATTTCAAATCTAAGTTCAAGTTCCCAAACACATCAATTTATGATGTTTAATTCAAGCACTTATAAAAAATATATAGAGTAAGATCTACCGAGTACTAGGTACTCAAATGTTAAAATTAATACACATGGCATGACTTGTCAAGTTATTATTAAAAGATGAGCCTCATTCCCGAGGGTCCTCTCAAATCTGACTGAACGGTTACTGAGACAAGATAAATTAGACTAAAATCACTCACCCAAAAAAACTAATTACAATTTTTTTTAAAAAGTTATTTGTCGAGATTACCACTTCCCTCTGCTTTTGCATCCATGTAATTTTGTGTTTCCAAGTTGTAGCCGGTCTACATCTTGTGCTTGACGCTTTACCAAGAGCCCATCTCGGTTGCAAAGTATCAAGCGGTTTAGCATTAAGGGAACTCCTAAAGTCGGTTAAAATGTTGCCGCTAGAACTGAACTCTTGTTCCACAGCTACGATTGAAACTGACATAAATAACACCTCTGTGGCTAGCATTTCGAGTGACAGGAACATGTTTTCATTCTGCTCCCATGATTTGAGGACGCCGAACTCACTGTCATCGTCTTCATCGTAGTCGCATGAAACACCTTTGAAGACGCTTCTGAAGCTTTGACCCGACTCAAATAGGTCACTACAGTCGATTCATACCAAGAGGCTTTTGAATGGAGGGCTTGCCTGAATCATTCATGATTGGGTCTTTCATCGGTGGCCTTAAGGACGACATTTGGCTCGAAGTCAAGCTGCAAAACCCTTAGAAATTAGTCGACACCATCACTATGGCACGACTAGTGGGGGAGAAGCTCTAGCTGGCTGGAGGCAGGGGAGATGCACCGGATAAAGCTACTCCAACTTCTAGTGCTGGTACCAAAATTTTTGGCCCTAACCCCGCCAGTCGATTAGCATTGCCGATTCTCAATTCTACTCGTCGCTTCACAAGTGTTGGAGTCTGTGACCGTCATGCTAAGGGCTTGTGTTACCACTTTGAAGAGACATACAAATCGAGCCACAAGTGTTTTAAACCGCAGCTAGTTATGATCGTCGACGCCAATGACAACCTCGACCTCCACCTTGAAGACAAGGTGAATTCAAGGGGGTGGAATGATGTCTGCCATTTATTATTTTTGTTGTTGTTGTTGTTGTTTAGTGGGAGCATAACTCCCCATTAGTTAGTTTATGGAGTTAGTGGGTGCATAACTCCCCATTTAGCCATATAGTCACACATAGTGGTGGTTATATATACAACTAATATATATATATATATATATATATATATATATATACATATATATATATATATATTAGTTGTATATTTCAAAAGAAAGGAATGAAGAAGAATTGTTCCAAAGTCTTCCTCTATAATTCTATCTAATCCTAATTTCTTTGCCAATTGCTTAAAACCCAATCGGAAACATATTATTTGGCATCGGAGCAGTCGTGATCTAAGAAACCCCACAAACGCACCAACGCTGAATTCCAACAAAAAATCAAAAATTGTCTCGCCTGACATGAGGCGATGTTTGAACAGATGTTGACTGAGATGCGGTCCCTTGAACCACGCATCGATCCATTGCAAGATCCAAATTCTTTAGGTGTTGGAGGCGGCAAACCCTTTTTGCAGAGTCCAACGTCTCACGTCGCGTTACAACGTGCAGTGCCGTCACCACCGCATACCACCACACCAAGTCCGTGTCATTTCGAAAAACCCATCCGGAAATTTGCACCTGCACCAAAAGCTTTCCAAATCCAACTTTGATTGCTGCACCGCCACTGCAATGGTAACCCTGCACCACCATTCCTCTGGCTCCAAAGTTAGCACCAACTCCGTCAACCGTATCGAAGATTTGCTGAGGGGACAAACTCAAAAGATTCGAGTGGCGCTCGCCCTAGCTCCATGTTGAGATAGCTCCAAATGCCACCAACCGGACTGAATGGAGGTCGCCGTAGAGCAACAACAAAACACTTCAATTTCTACTTAACTTCACCTTGAGGACAAGGTGAGTTGAGCGGGGTGGAATGATACGTACCTTTTATTGTTGTTGCTGTTGTTGTTATCATCATCATCATCATCATCATCATTATTATTATTATTATTATTATTATTATTATTATTATTATGGATTAGTGGGAAGTTAAGGCGAGAAGTTTCCAACCTAGTGGGAAATGGGTAAGGTTGTGAGGTTTCTTTCTTTAATGTATTATACTACTTCCGTCCATAATTAATCTTCCTGGTTTGACTGGGCACGCATATTAAGAAAAAGTATAAATGCAGTTGACTTTCCCAAAATGACATCACCCCCTTCTCTTCCTTGGCCCCCTACTCTTCCCTTCCGTCCAAAGCTCTATGCATTGGGTGATTGACGTCTGCCTGGAAAGACGCACAAGCAATTGGGTAGACTCGGACTGTTTTCTTGATGCTCCGCCGCTTCCTTTGATAGACGCCTCGTTGCTCTACCGTGTCACCTTTGACTATCACCTTTGACCGTCGCCTTGCTGCTCCACATAGTGCTTCAATTTCAAAAAAAGAAGAAGGAAGAACTTGGGGCCCTTTCCTTATAATCCAACATGCACCGTCAATTATCGCTATTTACTCCGCCATCACAACAAGACGTCGCCATCTTCATCTTTGTCTGAGATCTAGATTGGAGTCATGAGATCTATAGACACATGGTACAACCTTAAGAGATCCGTCCAAATCGAGTAATGTTTACACTCTCAAGTCATCAGATCTGTCCATATTGATGACATTGCAGGGCGGAGGAAGAAGAAAAGAAAGAAAGAAAGAAAGAAAGAAAGAAAGAAGAAGAAGAAGAAGAAGAAGAAGAAGAAGAAGAAGAAGAAGAAGAAAGGATTGAAGAAGAAGAGGTTGGAGTGGACGGTTGGACAAAAATGAAAGAGAGAGGAGGAAGAAAAGAAAGAAGAAGGAGAGGGGGTGGCTAGACAAATCAGAACGTGGAGGGAAGAGAAGAAGAAAAGAATAAGAACAAGAGGGGTGGCCCAGTTGCTGTATACAAGCGGAAAGGAGAGAAGAAGAAAAGAAAGAAAAAGAAAAAGGAAAGAAGAGCTGAGGAAGAGTGCGGAGGGGTGCCTGGACGAGTTGAGAAGGAAGAAAAAAGGAAAAAAGAAGAAAAAATGGAGTGGGTGGGTGATGGTAGTTAAGTCTTTTAACCATGTAAGATTTAACAAAAAAGGAAATGAGAAGATAACTTGTGGACGGACGGAAAAAAAGTAGGAAGATAATTTGTGGATAGAGAGCGTATATATAGTTTGTATGTCATTAAGTTAAGAGTGCTTTATGGCGCACTTTGAGTGGATACTATTTTTGTGCATCTTATCACATAAAAAATCAAAATTTTATTTTTATTTTTTATTAAAATAAATGCTCATCAAGATAATTGGAAATTGCTTATTTGCTTCATATGTAGATTTATGGTGGACATTAGGTCCATCATAAAACATGCCTTAAGCTAATGACTCATTTCTAGAAGTTAATTTTTGCTCATTTTCTTTCTATGTTGTTTGGTTACATGAAGGGAAATGAGAATAAGGTGAAGAAGAGAGACAAGCGATCTATAGAAGAATTAACCAAAATGTGTGATATTAATACGACTTCAGACTATGGAATGCTCAAATGATGTGAGGATGACTACAAAATTAAAGATCAAATCAATTTAAGGAAATCGAACAGATCTCATCCATTGGTTGATGCAATTACACAATGGGAGACACCTTTTCTGCTAATAACACAACAAGCAGCGACGATAAGGCTGGACGGATAACACAACGTGAAACTTTCAGATTTTGTGGACGGAAAGATAAGGTGCGAGAAGAGCAGTGGCAGATATGTCTTTCGAAAAAAACGGAGGACAATTTTCATATTTTGGGCTTCATTTTCCACTTGACCTCTTATCATTTTCCTTTGACTTTCCTTCAAAACACAGGAAAATATATAATGATTTATAAAATTCAGTTTTCATCTTTCGAAACCGATCCTAAGAAAATAAATATGAAATGAATGAATCATAGATAAAGTTATTTGTACCCCAAAGATTTCTACCCCATTTTGTACACCGCAGCGATGCATCAACATTTTGTGTTGCTGTAAAGCTAATTTTGTTAATGCACCAACACTTTGTGCCAGTGTAAATTTTTGTTAACGAATCAACATTTTGATTGTTCACACCTTTGATGTACAAATTAGGTTGAAATTTTGGGGTACATGTAGCATTATTGATGAATCATTTATCTGGTCTCTCTCTAAATATTCTCTCTGGTTTCTCCCTCTTTTGTTGGGCAATTAGTTAAACCCCAATTGGAACATATCATCATCAACCTCCGCGCCTTCTTCTCCGTCTTGCTCCCATCGTTCTCTCTGCCGCTGTGCTCGTAGACCTCCAATTGCAGGCTGTACGAATTCGAACATCAAATAGTTTCGTATATTATAAATCATTATGTACGCCGTATTATGGTTATGTATACGGAGTATTTCGATGGCGGAGAGGAAAGTGAATGTTTTGAAGATCAATTTCACTATCTGATACCCCAATCTTATTTCTTCGTGGGCAATGCTAGGGGTACACCAACATGGGGTACCCCAAGTGTACACCAAAGCCAACACAGACACACACAGACACAAAATGTCTGTGCAACACAGATACTTTGTGTCTGTGTGTGTCTGTGTTGGGATTGCACAGACATTTTGTGTCTGTGTGTGTCTGTGTTGGCTTTGGTGTACACTTGGGGTACCTCATGTTGGTGTACCCCTAGCTTAATTCTTTCTTCGTATTTCCGTAGATTTCTGCTGCGGTTCTCCATCTGCCTTCTCCTCCGCAGTTCACTATAGAGTCCAGGTCCGGCCCAATAGGGGGAAAGGTGTCGGGCCAGGCCGGGCCCAAAAATATTAGGGGCACAATTTTTTTTAAGTATTATATAAATGTGTGTTTGTGTGTACATAAGCCCAGCTGCCCAGGCCCAGTCCACCCATGACCCACCCAAGTTGTTACCCCTCAATGGCTCAATTCCTCCGCTTGTAGCAAAAATCGGATAGAAGAAAACCTTCCGATAGAACACGGACCGGAAGAAAGAAGAGAGCCGAGTCGCCGCCGGCCGCCTCCACCGCCGGACGCCGAGTCGCCGACCTGCACGGCTCCACCCTCCAGGTAATTAGTTATAGCTTTCCAATTTTGTAATTTTTATTTCTTAAATCTTAATTTTCTTTCATTATTTCATTTTTTTAGATTTAAAATCTAGGGTTAATTATTAGTTTTAAATTTGAAATATTTTCTAATTTCATTCTTTGAAATAGAATGAATGAATGGTTCTATATGTTATTTATTTGATTTGGATGAATTGATTTGAATTTGTTATTTATGATAATTATATATTTATATTAAAGAAAACTGAAAATCGAAAAAAAATTAAAAACTGATAAATTGGTGATTTGATATGAATTTATGATTTATAAAAAAATTAAAACTGAAAAAGAAAAAGACAATTAAAAAAAAGAAAAATTGACGAATTGATATTAATTTATGATTTATTTATTTGCTTGCTTTTTTCAGTTTTTTATTCTTGATTTTACTTAGTAGAATTTATGAATTTAGATTTTATTTCAGAAATAATTCAATAGCTATGGCTCCTAAACAATTATCCGGTAGTCAAAAAAGAAAAAAGAGAAAACGAGATGAAGAAATGAGAAAGTCTCAAGCCGGAGCTCTATATAAATTTATGAAACCTAATGCTGAAGACGAAGAAGTAGAAGTAAAAGAGATGGAAGAGCAAGAGCATCTACAAATAGAGCAAGAACATGTTTAAGAGGAAAATTTTAGGGCCTTTTAGGATAAGATTTTTTGGGCCTTTAGTCTGTTTCGGCCCATGCTGATGAATCCTCAGGACCGGCCCTGATAGAGTCTGCCTCTTCCCCAGCACATCAACGCAGTTCTACTCAATCGAAGCTTGTTACGAATCTATTTCAAGAGTAATGATCCTAAAACTTTGATTTCAAATTTTACTCTTCAAATTTGTATCTAATAGACCAAAGTCTTGGAATTTCTAAGCTTCTAATCTTGCAAATTTTGTTGTAGGATTAGGCGAACGGTGTTTTGTATTTTTGAGAAAAAAGACCGCAGAAATAACTTAGACTTGACATGTGAATTTATGAAGATTTGCTTGCTTCCCCTAGGCTCCTTATTATTGTAATTTATCAACTTATTTTTTTACAAGATTATAAAGTAATTGAAGTTGGACGTGATTGGTTGGTTCTGTTTTGCATTATTTTGTTTTTGTATATCACTGGTGTTTATGTTTTTGAGAGGGACTGTGGGTGAGGGATGAGAGGAACAAATTTAGCCATTTGATCAAGTTTGGACCTATAATTCTGTGCAACATGTAGTCAAACAAATATCCCTCGGTTTAATGCTAAATCCCTCTGTCCCATTATATGTTGCCTACATTGATTAGAGACATTATAAGGAATGAGAAAAAAAGTATTCACCTTTCAAAATTATCCTAGGCCGCTGATTCCTTACTAAAACGTCCTTCAACCCGGTGAAACCTGCATTCAGGGTAGTTCATTTCATCTGAAAATGGCGTTGATCTCAGAAGCAGTTCCCAAGTTCACGGCTGACGCCCTCCGCGCAGCGGCAAAGCAATCTGAAGCGTGCCGAACAGTTTCTCTTAGGCTTCGTCGAGCTATCAAAAAATACATCAGAGGTTTACACCAATCCATCTCTCTCTCTCATTCTTTTCCTGTTAGTATCTGCGACAAAATTTGTTTTCTTTTTCAGAAAAAGAAGACCCGCATATGAGGAGAAAGGTGTTGAGGCTATCTGAGTCTTTTGGCCACATAAAGGAGGCTAANGATGGAAAATCCAGAGTGCATATGGTGATATCGGTCTGAAATATCAAGAGGATGAGGCTACAGCTTATGTGGTTTCTCGGATGCCTGCAGTTTATTCTGCTTTGTATAGAGTGCTTAGTGAGGTAAATGGGACATGGAAATATATGAAAAGTTTATGTCATAAAAGCTTTTAGATGTCAGAATTGATACCAGATATAAGCTTTAACTTGCTAATGTGGAGGAGATTTTATGAACTTGTCATGGTCTTTTAGGTTAGGAGAAGAGCGCCTGATTTTTCTCCTGCTAAAGTATTGGATTTTGGTGCAGGGACTGGTTCTGCATTCTGGTGAGAGAAATTTAAATTTTGTGTTAACAGTTATTTGTTGATGTTATTTATATTTTCCTATGATTTTGGCATGGTTATTGAATGAGTTTTTATTGCAGGGCAACAAGAGAAGTGTGGCCAAAGTCCTTGCAGAAGGTTAATTTGGTGGAGCCATCACAGTCCATGCAACGTGCAGGACAGAGTCTTATAAGAGGTAATCCTTCTCCAATAGTATTCTGGACATTTGATACTCTTGGAGACACCCTACCATGGTATTGATAGTTATGTTTCAAATCCCTGATAAACTCCCCACAGATCCAATTGATGTTTTTTGTTCTTACTCTTTCAACACCCCGACGCTACTCTCGTGGAATTCTACTGGGTTGTTGTTTTGTACTCTTCCAACAATTGAATGAAGTAGCCATATACTATCACTAGTGTTAACCCCGTGCATCGCCGCACTGGCTCGTATTCATTCTAAATTTTTGACATTGTTTAAATATAATTCTATTTATTTTAATTTTCAAATAATGATATAATAATAGATGTTATATGAATATTTTTTTTAACTATCAAATACTATATATTTGTTGTAATAAAAGTTTTATTTTTAAAATAGATGTAGATGTATTAAAATTTCTATTTTCATATACATATGACACAATGCGCATGCATAACGTGAACAATTTTATACGAAATTAATGGTCATTGAATGAAATAATAATAACATTTGTTTTAGTTAACAATAAATTGAAATAATAGATGTTAAACGGACAAATTAAATAATGACACATAATTTATATAATACGTAGTGGTTGTTAAAAAATGCATATGTGATAAAATTTATATAATAGTTTTTTTAGATTTATAAAATAAAAGAAATGGTAAACAGTTTGAAAAATTATATACAATATAATGTTACTTTTTTAGTTAATAAAGTTTACATTACATTTCAAAAATAAGAATAACATAATTATGCATACCAAAAAATATGTTACAATAATGAAAAAGATATTTTTAAAATCGTTATAAAGTGAAAGATTTATAAAAATTTAATAAAATAATAGTTATTTAATTTTAGAAAGTGAAAGATTTATAAAAATTTAATAAAATAATGATTATATATTTAATATTAGAAAATGAAGGATGTTATAAAAAATTAACAAAAAGAATGGTTAATTTAAAGTAAGAAAGTGAACGGTTCAAAAAAGTCAATAAAAATAATGATTATTTAATATAAAATGTAATATGCACCCGTGGCATGACACATATGGCATGGTGTGCACCTGTGGCTCGAAAATTTTTATATAAATTAATGGTCATTGAAATGAAATAATAATAAAAATTGTTTTAATTAATAAAAAGAAAATAAAAATATCAAATGGACCAGTTGAATAATGGCACATCATTAGATATTGCATATGTGGCATGTGCCACATGTTATGCTATTATAAACCAAATTCACTTTGTTTAGCTTTTTGAAAAAATATATCATAAACTAAAGACTGTAATAGGATAATTTTTTTGAAATATATTTTTTAGTTAATAAAGATGCATATGTGATAAACTTATGTAATAGTTTTTTTGAAAAGTAATAAAATAAAATAATTTGTGGATAGCCTAAAAGAATTATACATACAGTGTTGATTTTTTAAATAATAAAGTTTATATAACTTTCTTAAATAATAACAAAATGATGCATATACTTTTAAATAGTGAAAAAGATATATGTAAAATGTTTAGAAAGTGAAGGGTTAATCTAAAATTTATGGTTATTTAATGTAAGAAAGTGAAGGGTTTTATTAAAAATTTAATAAAAATAATGTTAATTTATAAATGGTGAATTGTTTTAAACATTTATAAAAAAAATTACAAAAAATTTAAAGTTTGTATAACATTTTTAAAATAAAAAGTATATTTTGCATTAAAAATATGTTATAATGTTGAAAATATAATAACAATATTATTATTCAAGTTAGAAAGTGAAAGATTATATAGAATATAATAAAAATAGTGATTATTTAATATTAAAGCAATATACTAGCAGACTAAGTTTGGTAGTTCCTTTCTTGGTGCTAGCTAGGCGAGTTGTAGACCTAGACTTAGGATCTAGAGTTTCTAGACCATAGCTGTGAAAGGCCTGCCTAAGGTGCAACAGGCTGCATGTGCTTTGCATGCATCCAGCCATGACTACATTTCTGTCGATTGCATTCATAAATTTGAGTTTGGTAACTTCAGTTGCATATATATACTGATGATCACTAATATTGCAGATCTAAAAAATTTGCCACTTATTCAAAGCTACAGCAGTCTTCTGGCATTAGCTCAGAATACTAAGAAGAAGACTGATAGGCAACACAACAACAACAACAACAAGACAGATAGGCAACACGATCTTGTAATTGCTGTAAGTGAAGTGTTTTGTACTATGCTTTGGTTCTAAAGGAATCACCTGCATCCTATGAAGTGCTCTCCTTACAAAACCAGTATCCCATCTTTGGTGTTACAATTTGCTGTGGATTTGCATTATGGAAATTGATATCGGTTTTCTACTGGTGAAGTCATACGTGTTAGGTGAAATACCATCCCTAAAGGACAGAATCGCCATTGTCCGCTAGCTTTGGGGCCTTACAGGAGATATTTTGGTATTTATGCTTCGTTTATAATCAATCTTTTGTCCATGAAAAAAAAATGATTTTATAAAATATTTATGGACATGCATTTTTTAACTTAGTGATAGGGTGCAGGTCCTAGTTGAACCAGGAACACCACATGGATCTAACATCATATCGCAAATGAGATCTCATATATTATGGATGGAAAGAAGGGTAATTTTTTGTCATTTCTCTTATTGATAAAATAAGTGGTAGGAAGTGAGTAGCATTGAGTTTCTACATGGCCTCGAGCTATTTGTGATATCTGGACTGATTGCTTCATAGAGATCTCACAAATTAGAAGAGTCACCTGACAAATCTTGTAAAGCCTTGACGACACACAAAAGTGGTGCATTTATTGTAGCACCTGTAAGTATTAGAATTTACATTTTGGTGCTCACTAAACTTTTATACAAATTGAGGTTGAAGTGGTTGGCTTGTTTGTTTTTTTCCAGTGTGGACACGATGGACCTTGTCCGTTGAGTAAGTCTGGAAAATACTGTCATTTTGTTCAACGGTTGGAGAGGACTACATCACAACTTACTGTCAAGGTGTTCCTTAAACCTATGTTTCACACTATTATCTTTTGTTGTCTTTATGGTACATTTTTATTCACTGCCGGTATAAGAATGTCAAATGGACTACACCTTGGCAGTGATATTTTACAATATTGTTGGATTAATAAATTGTGCAGACATGAATTCATTTTTCATGTTAAAGAGGGCTTTGACACTTGTTATGACATAAATGGGACATATGAGATATGAATGCTTTAAATGTTCAATTTCTCTGTTATTGTTCAACGATTTGTTACATTCCTAGTTTTATTTTATCTACATCCCAAGAGAAGTTTATCTTTGTCTTTCTTTTCTATGCTCTTTATCTCTTTTTTTTGGTAGCGGTCCAGCGGTGCATCTCTTCGTGGCTTTGAAGATGAGAAATTTTCTTATGTTGTTTTGAGACGAGGACAACGGCCGAGGCAAGTACTTTATTAATGCATAATTGATTATACACCCTCCGTTTCTTTAAAAGTGTCAAATGTTTAGCCTTTGATGCCCCATAATACTTGTGTATATGTTATTTATTGCAACCTAGGAATTGTGTAATGTATGTTGCTATGATTATCATTAATTAGGATACTAATCTATTATACTTTGTATTTTTAATGAGTACTGTTACTACTGTATTTGAACTCAAAATTTAGCAAACTTTGTTTTCTCTAACTCTCTAAGTGGCGGAAAATAGCTTTGGAAAATAAAAAAACTGCTTTATGCAAAAATGTGGTGCTAAATAATTGAAGCCAAAAGGTTTAGCACCAGTGCAGACATTTTGAATAAAGCAAGTATGTGTTATTAGCTCTAGTATGCCTTCAACTAACCAAATTTTCTTAATTTATTGTTTCTTCCCTGGAAATTTGTTGTTGGATAACGAAAAGGTTAGCTGACCATTCCTCATAATAAACATACCAATTATAAGGTGAATACTAATTGGAGTCAAACAAAGAAATGATGTTCCCTTATTTTTGTATTCTTTCAATTTGACATTTTATTATGGACATAGAGTATTAATGTAATATTCCCTCCGTCTCCTTGGATTCTTTACACTTGTTATTATTAGTTGTCTCATTTGATTCTTTACACTTCCAAGTTTAGCATTACTAAGGTTCAAAAGTCTTTTTTACCCTTCTTTACATGTATCAACATCATCTTTAATATCTCACCAACCTTTAATAATTGCACTGTCAAGGGCAAATTTGGAAAGTAATTCACATTCTTAGACTTGCCTAAAACTGTACAAAATCTTCTGTCAATAATCCAAAGGGTCGGAAGAAGTATTTGAACTGTTATATAATCCTGAGCCACATTATATTTTGAGTTAAATTTTATGTCATCATTGCAAGTCCTGTTATTATTTTTATATTATAAAGTTGGACACAACATTTTCCTTTCTCCCCCCCCTGCCCCCCCTCCTCTCTAAATGCTGATGGGAGAGGATTAGGAAAATTTTGAGTCCCTCAATAAAAATGTTCTCAACCAAACAAGAGGAAAGAATCACTTTGCCTTTTCCACACCCCTCCCGTCCCATCCAACCAAATACCTTAAAGGTTTCTAACTTTGTGTAATTTAGAATATTCACAGTGCAGAGCTCAACTTTTTATCTGTTAGCCCAACTATGTTTTGAGTGTATATGCAACAATACGCAGTGCCTGCTTTAGAGATCTTTACAAGATGCATAGTTGCTGAACGTTAGATTTTACAGTTGCCTTGTTCAGATGAAATAAGGAGTAATTGGATGCACACAAAAACCCCTGCTGTGCAAGAGTCTGGGGAAGGGTACCACCTTAACGGTGTGAAGAAGGAAAACCTTACCTTCTACCCATAGTATTTACCTTAGAGGCTGCTTCCAGGACTTGAACTTAAGACTAACACCAGAGTGAAATGTTATTGTTAATATATTTACAATTAACTTTAATCATCACTAAAATGAACATAAAATGATTTGCTTTATTTCATGTAGAGAAGCTTGGCCACTTGATGGCATGAAGTTTGAAACATTGGAGGAACAACATGCTAGAAGAAATGAAGAAGATATAGAGATTAACTATGGTATGGATTAATAAATACGGAGTAAGTGTAATACTATAAGTTTTGGCAGTAGTGGCTCTAAGTTTCACGCTTGGAGAAGCAATAAGGTCTCTTGATTTTCTTTGCCCTTTTCGTGTTTGTATCCATTGCAGAGGACCAATTGCCTTTAGAAATTGAGGAAGACCTGAAAGGAGAGGATCACATATCCTATGATTCTGATGATACAGAAGCAGACACCATTACAGATGAAGATGAGAGTGAGGAAGCAGCAGCAGCTTCTGCTGGTCTTGGTACTGGTTGGGGAAGAATAATTTACTCTCCTATACGAAGGGGGAAGCGGGTCGAAATGGACGTGTGCCGGGCAACAAATGCCGAAGGCACGAAAGGCTCTTTTGATCGGATTATCGTTACAAAGAGCAAGAATCCAACAATGCATCGTCAAGCTAAAAGATCCCTCTGGGGAGACCTCTGGCCACTTTGAAACACCCTACACATGAAGAAACTATGCTACATGTCATCATCACTTGGGGCGTTTTTCTCTACAAATCAACTGAAGAAATTGTCCATCCAAAAAAGAAGTGGAAACCGAACTTGTCGCGTAGGACTGTGATTTCATGCCTTCTCCTCACCCACAATGCCCACTTTGGGGTTATGTTGGGGATTTATGCCCTCTTAAGTGTTCCCTCTGTTGCAATTGATATGTTCCCTCTTCATCAGACAGCACAGTTTTCATGTTATTATGAATGCCAGATTGACAAAAAAAAACATGAGCAATACCATTTGTCTTTCCTATAAACAGCATATTTGTTATGATGTTCCTAACTTGTTTTGGCCCCCTAGGCTATGTTTGGATGGAGAGTTTTGGAGCAATAAAGAGAGTAGAGTCAAGTTCAAGTTATAAACATATAGATTCGACTTCCTAGTTCCAATGCATGTTTCCAATGTTCCAACCCTTGATAAATTAAAGGTGAAAAAAAATTGGATTTTGTCTTTTCTAATACGGCGCAATACGGACTTTAATTGATGTGGAAACATTTACGGCAATATTTTTTTGCTAAGGGTTTATTTTTGCAAGAATCTAATGAAACTATTCTGGATTATATAATAAAGTAATTTTCTCATGAGATGTGTTTGGATTATATAATAAAGTAATTTTCTCATGAGATGTGTTTTACACATTCTATCAAATACATAGTGTATACTTTTAATGTTAAATATACTTTTGATCCTGTAAATAAGTGACTCTTGCTTTTAGTCCTTTTAAAATATTTTTTATTAAGTTGTCTGTGTAAAATTTTTACTTTTGCAAATAGTATTCTACTATTTATTTTAATTTTAGAGTTAATGTTGAATTTGTTTTTAATCTCTAGAAAATTAGTGATTTTACTTTCGATTCTTCTAAAATGTTTGAAATCTAAAATGATTTTGTTTTGGATCCTTTCAGACCCTAACAAATAAATTCTAAGTTTGTGGGAGGTCCATTTGCAAAAGCAAAAATTTTATAATGATGAATTGAAAAAAAATTGGAGAGATAAAAAGCAAAAACTACTCTTACAGGGATTTAAATTTTGAAGCATATTTAATTTTATTTTTTAAAACTTTGTGACACATTATATATGAACTAAAATATCGAGGAAGGGATAGATTCCACACAAAAAAATAAATGCAACATGAAACGACAATTCTTTTGAATTTTTCAAAACTTGGACAATAATTTCATACTATTTTTTCGGTACAAAATTTGACACTATTTTTTACTCAGCAAGAAACGGTATACTATAATAATAATAATATCATATATTAAATCTACTAAGCTTTAGTTGATACGGAGTGTCCGGAGGCTTTGACTTTCATCGAGATTGACCTGGTGTGAAGTGTACCGGCACAATAGAAAGGAACGAGGGGAAGAATCGATAAGACAATAGAAGGGGAAGACCAATGTATACATTTCAATTGGGGGCTCGCTCCCATGGCTTTTGTATTGGGGCTTTGTCCACTATTCGTTCCCCAATGAATGAAAAAACGTGAGGAGAATTCTCAACTCGAGATGTTAGAAGGTGCGAAATCAATGGGTGCCGGAGCTGCTACAATTGCTTCAGCGGGAGCTGTTGTCGGTATTGGAAACGTACTTAGTTCCTCGATTCATTCTGTGGCGCGAAATCCATCATTGGCTAAACAATTATTTGGTTATGCCATTTTGGGCTTTGCTCTAACCGAAGGTGAAACTCATTTAGTTCAACGAAATGATTTGAACTATGTTCAACGAATCTCTGTCAACTTATTCGGAAAAATCCAAAACTAGGAAACCTTTCTCCTTTCTAATAAGGCTAATAAGGTAAGCTTTCAAGCTGCCGCCCTTCACTAGAAGGAGTGGGCGCAGTGAACTGTAATTGTGAAAAGATTGGAAGATCAGGCCAAAGAAGGTGATAGCCCTGTAGATTCGTTCCCATGGTTCGATCCTTCCCAGTAAAACGCGGCGTGTTTGAATTCTGATCGCTTTTACGCGAGAAAGGGGACCACCCTCTAAGCCTAAGTATTCCTCAATGACCGATAGCGTACAAGTACCGTGAGGGAATCTTTGTTATGCATGTTAAAAAGAATGAAGTGCAAAATAAAAGGTAAATTTGTTACAATAAAATTCAAATGGTGGACGTGATTGTGAGAAATTTAAACGAAATAGTACTTATCACACAATGGAAGGCAAAAAACCACACGGGGATGTAGCTCAGATGGTAGAGCGCTAGCTTAGCATGTGAGAGGTACGGGGATCGATACCCCGCATCTCCATTGTTTTTACAGATTTTTGTCTTCAAAATCCATTCTGTGTTACACTTTATCCCAGTATCCCACGTAAACATTTTCTTTGTTTCTTTACACAAGAGCATAAGAAAAAAGGGTTTTTCTTCCATACCCTTAAAATTGTACGGGCATGAATGTCCTCCCACTCAAAATTTGACATGTGGACATATTTATTTAAGCTGCCACGTGGAATAATAAATGTTTCGTGTCACTAACTTTCTAAAATTTCTAAAACTACAAATTCCCCCATATCCCCTCTGCCTTCCTTTTACAAAGTGCTTCTTTTTGACGCATAAATTTATTGAATGGTTCTTTCATCAATTAGTAAGTATTAGTATTTGTTTTCTTTTTTGACTTTTTTTATCAAAATTTGTAAATTTTGATTTCAAATTAAATAAAAATAATATTAGATATTGATATAAAAATAGTGTTATTAAATTTATTATATAAAGATTTTTAACATATTATTTTATGTAACTAATATACAATATATATTTTATTTAATTATAGGTCAAAAGTTAAAAACAGTTGACTAAAAAAAGTCAAAACTGCACAAATACTCTAGGACGGATGTAGTATTACTTTTGTCCATAATTTTTTTCTTCGAGTTGCATTAGAATATTTAATTGAAATTATTTTTAATATATTTTATATGAAAAATGGGATGGAATTAGAAAATGAAACTTATAACTCCACTAATATTGTATATATATTTTTGACGTTGATGGGTATATCCTTATACCCGACCCGGATAACCGAAAGGGACAGGTCAAAACATGACCGGTCACTTTTATCAAGATAGCCATTTCGCCACTTAATGTTGCGAAGGATATTCCAGAGGACCAAAGAGATGGGTTGAACTCAAAAATGACCGGGTAACCTTTGAGGAAAGGTGACCGGTCATGTTGCGCTACTTGAGAAGGGCAATCAACATCAGAGGCTAGAGGACACNTTCCTCACAAGGCCAGTAAGTGGAGGACTTCTTGATGGGTATATCCTTATACCCGACCCGGATAACCGAAAGGGACAGGTCAAAACATGACCGGTCACTTTTATCAAGATAGCCATTTCGCCACTTAATGTTGCGAAGGATATTCCAGAGGACCAAAGAGATGGGTTGAACTCAAAAATGACCGGGTAACCTTTGAGGAAAGGTGACCGGTCATGTTGCGCTACTTGAGAAGGGCAATCAACATCAGAGGCTAGAGGACACCCCACCGCTCATCCATCACGAGGCAAACAGTGAAGGGAATGATTGGCGTTTTGCAGGATTGATTGGATTGAGAATATCCATGTTAGTCTTTGATTGAACAGTGCATGTCTTGGCTTGTAGTTGCTATATTCATTGATTGAATAGTAAATTGATTATGTACAGTGACCTTCCTCCAGGTTTCCCATTTTGTCCATGGATGAACAGGGGAAGGTCACAAATCCTCCTCTATAAATATGATAATATTGGATAGAGGAGGGGATCAATTCTTTCTCTCACTAAAAACTAGTACACTCTTGAGACAGAGTAAGAAATATATTTCGGACTGAGGAGATTTACCCGGTCTAGGTCATACTTTGTGTTCTTGTTGTGTGTTTTATATTACGGGTCAAGTGTCCAGGTCAAACCCGGTCAACCCACCCATCTATATTTACACCATCAGACGTTATGTTTTATTTTTTGCCCACACTATTCTGAATTGAATGAATTGTGTTGTATTACTACGAGTATTATATTTTGGAAGAAACACATTTTAATTTCAAATCATACTATTCCATTGTTTTCCTTTAATTTTAAGTTAAACAAGTTTATGTTTTGTTTTTTGTTAGATTAATTCTATAAGTAGTCTTTTATAACAAGATGGTTTTCATATTTAGTTCCCTCTTATCAAATACTCTCTTTGTCCACCATAGATCTTTGCAGACACTATTCACAGCGTCAAACTTCACTTACTTTGTATTCTTATTTTTACTAGTCATTTCGTAAAATAATATAGTCTTGTCATCTCTAGTTTGTAGAACTTTTCATGTAGTTTATTAGTCCGTACTATATAAATTCTATTTTAAAATTTTACTCTATAATTAGTTAAATTGAAATGAAAATAAAGTCGGTCAAGGCTCGTAACGCGTAATGGGAAAAGCTTATGTCACGGAGGGAGTATTAATGTGGTTCTTATTTTATATGTTGAATAGTTCTTTTTGACCCAATGTGTAGTGACATATTCTGATGTTGACTAGACGGACAATATGTACATCAATAATGACTAATTATGGCTAGGATTCCGACTAAAGATGATATTTGTAGACTGTAGTTATAGTAAACAACGATTCTAGTTAGCAAACAACGCATCATGAGCGACTTCTGGCATTGACTATGACAAGAAAGATATATTATCACTTTGAAATTATACTTTTACCCTTTAATTTAACACAGCTTGATAAAAAAGACTATCCGTGGTAAGGAACCCTAAAAAAGACGACATACATAATATTTGATGATAGAAGATTAAATATGGAAA